GACGTTTAGTGAGTGCAAGAATGTTCCAATCTTCTTTGATTATATACACATTAAAAAAGCTCAGAAAGACTATGGATCAGCTTGTTTTTCAGAATTTGACAATTTTGTACCTCTAAATGCTAGATCCTTATAAATCAACATCTTCCTTTTCTCAAATGACTCTTTATGAATAGAGACCTAAAACATACTAAAGAACAAATTCATTGGTTCTGATACACCTTCTTATCCTTTTGTTAGAATTTTTGCGTAACTCCACGTTGGTTTAAAAGCTAATAGAAAATTGCGGAACTCGACAAGCTTGATTCAAACTGAATTTCGTTAGTTTCAGATTCATATCGTTTGTGCAACGCAGAATCGGACGAATACACATCTAGTTTTAATTGCAATCCAACTGATTCAGTTTGAAGGCCATTTTGTTCTGAAAAAAAAAACAAGCAATTGTCGTATTTGTGCTAATTTCTGCATAGTCCATTAGGAAATTTGAGTACAAAAGTCACGGTTCAATTTGTCACTTGAAGTCTCCAGATATGTTTTGATTATTTTTATCACTATAGTATTTCTTGTACTTGAAATATTAATTCGGTCCGAAAGTTCTTGCGCATCATTTTTAAAAAGTCATAACTTCCTTGCGACTCGATGGATTCCGTTAAAATTACATCCGTTCGAAAGGGGAATCCATGCTCTTTACAGCTTACCTCCGCCACGAATTACTTTGAGAAACTTAGAGAGTTACAAGCAATTGAAGGAAATCAATCGAGTTTGTCATTTTTCGAGCTGGGTCACGAAAAATTCTGAAAGTATTTTTATTTGATAGAGAAAATTATGCTTTTTGCTAGAGTGCCTTTTCCATGAATTAAAACGAAGGATCGAGAGTTAGAAGCAGATAAAGAGAATTTCTTCAGTTTTGCAATTTTTGAGCATGCTCAAAAAAGCCTAAAAACGTCACAGAAAAGAAGGAAAAGTCATGAATATGGGTTCTGTGACCTTTTCTTTCTAGCTGAGCAAGTTTCGAGCTAATCGAGAGCAATTTTGATTTTCGTAAAAAACACAGGCCCGAAAATCCGAAAAAATCACGAAAAAAAATGCTCTCGATTGACACGATTTTTGCTCACCTAGAAAGAGAAGGTTACGAAACCCATATTCATGACTTTTTCGTCTTTTCTGTGACGTTTTTAGGCTTTTTTGAACATGCTCAAAAATTGCAAAACTGAAGAAAATCTCTTTATTTGCTTCTAACTAGTACTCTGCGTTGATACCACTGCTT